CAGCCTCAACTGTTTCACTGGTGTTTCCACCAGAGAATTCTGTATTTGTAGAATTCTGGAGAACTTTTCTAGTTTGTTTTTCAGAGAAGACTGAACTAGAATAGGGGTTAGAGATGCAGCAATTGCAATTTGTTGGCCAATTTTTCTTTGCTATTCTGGTTTTACTGCTGCAATTTTATTTTGTTTTTCATAAGTTTGACTTGCTCTTACAGATTTTTCATTATTCCAATTTCCTTTAATTGACACCATGAACAAAAAGTAACATATTTTATTTCAAATTTGAATCGCCAAACGTTGTGAAATATTTCCCACAAACTGCACTCAGTCATGGGTTCTCTCTTCAGTTCAACACCTTTCAAAATAAAGTTTCTGTTGAAAGAAAACCTAGCCGATTCCGATCACTTCCGTTGTAATTGGTGCATCTCTAATAGAGATTGAATGACACATGCTGTAAATTAAATTTTTTAAGTCGCCTCAACTTAGTGAAAAGGTCAACAGTTAAGTTTATGAAAGAATTGGTGCTTCTTTGGATATTTTTTGAAAACTAAAACTTTTTTTGTACAGTACTTGTGTGAACTGTGTGTTTTCATGTATCAGTTATTGTACTTGTCTACAATCGTAGATTTACATCGTCTTCCTTATATTTATTTATTCCTGTTAAAAACAGTCCAGTTATAGGAAGCTCTTATTTTTTAAAAGCTCCATCAGCAACTAGACAGTAGTATTACTGCGTGTGTACTGCAAATAGTACTTGAGACCAGTGTCTGTGTTCAGTTCAGTGGCTCTATCAACAGGCCTTAACCTATCCCATGACACCTAAGCTCCAGTGTCAGATCATGAGATTAGTCACACACTGTTGACACAAGTGGCTGAGATTCCTGTTTAGATTCCTGCATCATGTTGACCCAGGAAGTCCTTGGGAAAACACAATGTACATCTGTCGTGCAAAATCAAATTCTTGGTTACACACAGCGGTTGTGTGGAAACTCCCTGCGTGACCTTTTGCTTTTGTTTGTCTTTAGTCCCCGGCAGTAGGCAGCAAGTAGGTTTTGTTCAGAACACAATCGTGGTCAACACTGCACAGAGGTGTTTCATTATCATAATGTAAAAGGAAAATGTGACAAAAGGGCTGCGTGTGTGTTCACAGTGACAAAGATAGCCCACGGCTATAGTAACGCGTCACTGATGTGGTATGAGTCACAGTCTGCGTGTCTAGTGAAGACCACAGCCTTAACATGTGTCACCTGAACAGGAGGAAGAGGAGTGAGGACAGGCAGAGAGACGCCAGAGTTAGAAGACAGTTGCACTTTATCTCACCTGCTGGAACTGTTATAGCCTTTTCTTACCATTGTATTTAGTTTTAAAATGTTTTACAACTTAACACCATTTATATGTGAATTTACACTGAGTTAGTCTGTGAAACTGCATTTCTTCTTTTTAGTGTTTTTTTCTCTAAGCTGTTGTAACCAATAAATCCTCAAAAGGCTCTGCCTAGGCCATAGTTGTACATATCAGTTTGTTTTTACCCCATCTTGATGTTTAAATAAAGGTCAAATTTAAAAAATGAAAAACATTTCTTCAGTCTTTCAAAAAAATAAAACAAAACAGAGTTGCATTTATAATGCCTCAGTATTGACTTGGTCTATTAGTTTTTTTTAAATGTTTGTATAAAAATAAGCAATTTCTGGTATGTATTGTTTTAAGTCAGTGGTTCCCAAATATGGGAATTGTGTAATTACAGTTTTCAAATGTAAAATGAAGTTTTGGAGCAAGCGCTGCCAATGTATAAACATGGTGGGTGGGGGGTGTGGTCAATATGAGTTCATTCTACAAACAGAAGACCGGAATCCACTACTTTGGATAATCTCACTAAAATTATAAAGTTTAATTTTAGTGAGATTATTGAAAGTAGTGGATGTAACCAGGGTTCATACGTCATGAAAATCCTAAAAAAGTAAAATGGTAAAAATTAAATTGATAATTTAATTTAATTAAAAAAAGTAAAATGGTAAAAATTAAATTAATAATTTAATTTAATTTAAAACGGATTTTCTAGGTCCTAGAAAAGTTAAAGAAAAGTAAAATGTTTTGTTAAGTTTTGAAAAGTTAAAGAAAAGTAAAATGTTTTAAGTTTGGGAAAAGTCATGAACATTTTTGCGTGGATAATATATAGAAAGCGGCGCAAAACAGGAAGTTGATTCAAATATGTACTGACGTGCCAGTGTAACGTCACGTGACGTCACCGCGCACCTGAGCGGAAAGCAAACAAGCGGATCTACGCTCAACCGCTGTCCGTAGATGGATTTTGAGAGACTATATTTCCCGACAAAACGCCATGAAAATTAATGTTTTTTCAACGAGCAGCTTTCTCCAGGTACTAAGACATATTTAGCATGGAAGAAGTGAAACTGGTGCGCCAAATGAAGGGCAAGAAACACACGATTACCGATGAAAGCTGCGGAACCAACTTGATCATGGAGAAAATGGAAACATGTGTTTGGCTCTACTGCAGTGTCCTCCACGCCCGCACGGATCGCTGCGATTTCGTCAACTAGGCAGACGAGTGCTGCACTCCCGCTACTCCTACAAGTCGTTGGTAAGATAACCTAATTTTTTACTTCTTTGCTTTGTGAACCACGAAGCTTGTGTTTATAAAGAGTCTGGTGCCCCAGGTTTTCCGAATCCGGCTTAAATTCTGTATTATAAATAATAAGTCAACTTAAGCAGGAATACTATCAGAACGCGAATTAACTTTTGTTATATTTATACATTTAATTTAGAAGAAGGTTTAAACATTGTATCTTTTCTGCATGTTTCTCGTCAAATTAGAGCATTTTGAAAAAATTATTTTTCCCAATTTTTTGGAAAGAGGAATTTTTTTTTTTGGTCAGGTGTTGAGAAAGTTTTTGGCGTGTTTCTCATTTTCTCAAGTAAATACAGTAAATTTTTAAGAATAATTTTACAAAAATGTGCATAAAAAATTTAGTTTTTGACCAGAAATTACCCGAAAAATTCACATTTTGACAGAAGTTTTTATGAAAAAGAATTTCTAAAAATGTTCTCTTACTGTCCTAATATGATGATAAACGTGCAGGAAAAAATACAATTTAAAAAAATAATTTAACAAAACGTTTCATCAAAAGTTGTATTATTCTTACTTACTTACTTAAATGCTCTCTAAAAGCCCTAATTTTTTGAAAAACATGCAAGTAAAGATAACATTTAAAAAAAATAAAAATTACAAAAATGTTCGTGAATTTTTTAGTTTTTAACAAAAAATGACACGAAGATTTCACATTTTGACATAAAACCTTGTACAACAAAATTTCTAAAAATGTTCTCTAAATGCCCTAATTCTATAAGAAACAGGCAGGTAAAGATAACATTTATTTCTAAAATTTACACAAATTTTTGTTGAATTTTTTAATATCATGAAACATGAAACACATAACATGAAAAATTCACATTTTGAAGTTTTATTAAAAAAATTCAAAAATCCCCCAAAAAAATAAAAAGTCCCAGAAATGCCTTCAATTACAAGATTATGTCCTAAACATGCTGCCAAGTGAATATTTTGTTTTAAAACTCCAAAAATAGTTTATTTGAATACGTATTTCAAAAATCACCAAAAACATGCCAGCATGTTTGAAGGCAGGTGATTTTTGAAATATTCATATAA